TAGACTCTTTCCCACCTTATTGTTTAAGGTTAATTTTTGTTTGAATGTTACAAAATCTTGTGCTAAAAACATAAAGGTGTCAGAGTGTTCACGAAAAGTATCACTTAACCTAATTACACTTTTTCTCTTGGTGAGGAAGTCCATAAGAAAACACCTTTGAACCGACCAACATATATTGTTTTGAGATATTGGCTGATTTTTTCCGATTTGTAAGGAGCTGCCAATTTCTTTATAAACTTTAATTTTAACTAATTATCTCATTGAACTTTATAATTGGCTAATTTCCCTCATAAATTTTAATTTTAATCGATTACCTCGTGAACTTTTATTATTGACCAATTTTCTCTCTAAGCTTTAATTCCCCCTAAACCCTAAAACTCAAACAAAAAAAGATACGAAGTGAACTAGCGGAACAAAAGAAGAAAAAAAAATTTGTTATTTGCATTAGGGGTAAAATTACTTTTTTGCAATTATAAAATTAAAGTTTAGAAAAAAGTTAGCTAATAGTAAAAGTTCAAGGTTAATCGACTAAAACTAAAGTTCAAAAAGAAAATTTGTCAATTACAAAAGTTTGTGTGATAACTGGGTAATATAAAAGTTCATGATAAAATTGGCAGCTATTTACAAACTTAGGAGGAGGATGAAAAACTCGACAAATGTTTTTTCACTCTACTTTATTAGGAGAAAAAAAGAAGATAAAAAATGCGTTTGGTTGGTGGAATCAGAGAGAAATTCTTGGATCTGATATTTATCACCCTTGGGATGAAAAATTAAGAATAAAAAATGGAAGTAAGAGTATTCGTAAACCGTTGAGATGAATCATGTATATGAAAAGGTATGAGCAAGACAGTTTATGCAAATACTCAATTGAAAATGACATTATTATTATTATACTCTATATAAAAATAAATAATATTGAACACCATACAAATATTTTCCTCGTTTTCTAATATATAAAAAGGACATTTCTCCAATGCGATGTACGCACCAACCGTGCCTTGGTGGGCAAATGAGAGAGAGAGAGAGAGAGAGAGAGAGAGAGAGAGAGATGCTGAATTATTTTGTTTAATACCAATTTGTCTGGGATAATTGGGTGGCATGGACTGTAGACCTTTGACATAAAAGAGCATAATCTCTTTGACCCCGACTGATTAGAGTTAAGAACATGATCAAGTGGCATTTGTTTTTTTTTTTTTTTTTTTCAGAGTGAAATTTAGGTATACAAAAGTCTTGGTTTCTTGGTCACTTTGTGATCAACGACTTCTATATAGTCATTCATGGTTAAATTTGATATAAAAAATGAAGATCAAAACATTAAAGACACGTTCATTCATTATTCAATCTTTAATATGCAATCCAAGGTGAGTGATTATGTATTTTCTAATTACTAGGTGACTATAAGTTGGTGTTGTATCGTTTTTTGATAAATGATATATATTTCTTGTTGTATGTTTCTCTCATGACGGTAAACACACACAAAAAAATATATACAGAAGATTGGACTGCCAGTAAAGTTCATGTCACGAAATTGCATATATATATATGTGTGTGTATATATGTATATATATGTATATGAGGTAGGATAGATTTGATCAGATTTCATGGTGTTCTTAATCTGATAGAGATATGAGGTAGGATAGATTTGAACAGATATTTCTCAACGATGCTAAAACAGCGACATCACAACACAAGATCATATAAAGGCGCCGTGGATGTGCATACAACATAGTAAATTAGTGATAGTATAAGCCGTATACGTGGTCCCTCTGAAGAAGAGAATGCATGCATGGGTTAACATCTCAGCTCTTCCCCACATGTCTTGAACAATTTCCATGTGACTATTGACAGTATATTGAAAGCCAACTTTTTCCGCTCTAGTTTCATATATTCTATACGTAAATTAAGTTAATTAGCCAGAGCAATGATGTACCCATTTAAAATATAGTTCAAATCCTCTTTATTGTAGATTAGAGTCTTAATAGAAAATGTTTGTTTAGGTAGCACTTCTGCTTATCGAACTTTTTTTTTTAATAAGTGTTTCTTCTTTTGAGAATGTGTTGAAATTTTAATTAATTAAAAATCTTTATAGAAACTTAAAAGTTATTCCTAAAAGACGAACTTAGCAGGTTTCTTTTGGACAAGTTGTTCAACTGGAGATTACTGGGTCAACATAATGTTGAGGGAGAAATGTTAAGGGCTCTCTTGAAAGTCGGATTCTCTATGGATTATTTGTCATTTTATGTTTTTGACATAATATTTTGGCTTGTTATAGTAACATCTCACACATTATTGAATACATCCCACAAACTTAATACACTCCATATTTGCTTTTTATATTAAAATTTATCTTAATACATCCCACATGTATTTTCATAATACCTTCACACCTTGCACTCTCAACATACACCTTAAATTTTCTACATACACCTAGCATTTTCTACATACATCTCATACTCTTCACAATAGTTTCTTTCTTCGGTTTTTGTCTCTGCTACATACCATTTGATACAAAATCATTCACGTCATACAAGGATCGATTTGCTCAACTTTTTCCCTTACATTATTGTTTAGTAACAAGGATTTGCTCAATGTTTTTCTAACTAGTGAACATTGATCAGCGAGGGGGTGTACCTCAAAAATGATAATACATTTTAACCTTCATCCATATGTGACGGTACATTTTGAACAAGGTTTGGGCCACAAGTTCCGGCAGCCCCATGGAATTGGAATTAACTTCTCAATGTTTGAGGATACAATGTTACTGAAAGTAGCTGACTTAGATATGTTTGTACCATACTTGACCAATCTCGAAACTACTAAGCACCGGTCAACAGCATACTGTCAAGGACCCACAAGACTTTTCCTCCAACCAGGAGGCCAATCACAACACAACACATGTCGGTATCAGAAGCCAATCACAGCGCGACACGTGTCGATATCAGAGGCCAATCACAACACGACACGTGTCAATGTCAGAACAAAGTTAGAAACTCTCTTCTATAAACTCTTCTATAAAAGGGGATCATTCTCCCACAATAATCCCTAATGTCATTTGTACTAAACTATTCACTAGAACTCACTAAAAGAGAGCTTGAACCTATGTATTTGGGTAAATCCTTCACAACTAATGAGAACTCCTCTACTCCGTAGACGTAGCCAATCTGGGTGAACCACATACATCTTGTGTTATTTGCTTCCCTGTCTCTATTCATTTACATACTTATCCACACTAATGACCAGAGCAATCTAGCGAAGGTCACAAACCTCACACTTTCTGTTGGACCAAAGTCCTCGCCGATTTTGTGCATCAAAAAGATATATATCCTATAGTTGTGCCCTTCTACCTATGATAGATCAGAGGGAAGCCCCATGTCTATAACAATAAACTCCTAGATAACTCAAACTGTTTTCGATAGAGAAAGGTGAATTCCAAGTTAGGCTTAGGGTTTTCAAGCAGATTCTTTGGGTGAATGGGATGAGGTATGAACTATATGAGATATATAGCATTGGTAATTTAGTTGAAGGTGATGTGCACAAATAATGTGTAATTTGCCTGTCTGAACCATAAAAATTGACGTAAACTGTGACGTATCAGGTAGTCCTTGAAAAATTCCACTTTAAGAGAATCTCTTTATCATTATCATGCTAAGGTTATGAATCGGAGTGATCAAATTGTAGATATATAGTACAATAACATGAATCTGTTTGCTCTCTTATTTAGGTCTCTTGTTTTTTTAATGTATATACATGTTCCAAGCAAGAATGCCATGCGTGTCTTGTGCTTGGGATGACTACTTTTTTGTATTTTCTTCCATGTGAAATTATATGAATCATGCAACGCTACTTAAATACTCAGTTTTTTTTGTTTCGTCTGAAATGTTCGCTTATGGAGTTTCTGCAAGATCTTTGGGCACGTTTAGTGGACCGAACAAGATAGGATTCCGTACTTCAGACTGCTTAGGCTAAGATTAGATTCGATAGGTTGTGCTTTTTGTCTATTCCTTGGTCTAGACTAACTCAACTGAATTTGGATTAGATCGAAAACCCACCTGCATTTTGATCGACCCACGCTGCAAACTGAAAAAATAAATGAAAAATTATTGGCGGGGACCAAATTCTAGCATCTAGTATCACAATTTTCCAATGGTTAGAACGTCTCTGAAACGTTTAGCTTAGAGATTAAGCGGTCTCTTTTGGTTCAATTTGTTTTAATTCGGTTTGGATCATATTTAATTAGTTAAGAACCGTGAACTGAGCCATGTGTAGCCAGTCTAGTTCGGATTTTGAAGGTTTTAACTATTTTCGTCAACAATCAATTGGTCTAGACCGGTCACTTCCAATTCACCAGTTTCCCCCAAATCCTATGTTTTATACGTGCACTGGTGCTATGGTCAGTGGCAGATGCATATTGGGACCTTGGTGTTCCTAAGACCACTCGGACCGCTCGGAGTTTGAGAAATATACATACGAAGATCTTTTGAGGACCCTCCAAATGTTTGGCACTAGTCATTTTTGTGCTCGGTGTTTGACGAAATGCCTCTCTCATGTTGCGTCAACAACACTCTTCAAGCTCTCTCAATAGCACTCATTAGATTGCTTGTCATATGTCAATATCTATTGACATGTACGCAACTTGATTCGGCTGACGACAACAGGCTCACCAAGTGTTCGACAATGCCTCAGTGTGAATAAATTGAAATTTTTTTGCTTCGCACTTTATTTCTATCTAAAAAACTTGAACCTTTAACGCGACTCCCAAAATTCGAATCCTAGATCGGCCACTAGCAATAGCACCAGGAATATGCCATTGCTTCGCATGGACTTGGAGAGAATCATCAATGGCACACCTTGTAAAAAGAAGGGGCATTGCCTTGACTACAAGAAGAAAGAAGCAAAAAATCTGGGCATTTGGAATTTTTTGTTCAAAGATATTTATTTTCTTCCAAGTTTTATTTGTATGGATATACAAATGTAGGGCTATTGTTTATTGAGGTATCTTATCTTCCAAACTTGTTTGTTTGGTCCCAAAATCCCCCTCTTCAAAACAAGCATTTGAAAAAAAGAACCAAGGGCGCCAAATTGAACACTACTCTGAATTTGTTTAATCTCATCAATGGCTTCCACTTCAACTTCTTCAACAATTTATTTGCAAACCAATGCTCAAAAACTATCTTTCCCCTCAAAGCCGGCAACCAAAACATCCCACACAAACCTTAGCTTTCCGTACTCATTGCGATTCGCTACTAAATTTGTACGTGTGAAGTCTTCTAGCACTGCCTACAATGAAGTTGTGGTGGATGAAGAGATGGACAGAATCAGAAGGCTCCAGAACGGGTCTGATGTTCGCGGGGTGGCCTTGGAAGGCGAGAAGGGGCGGATTGTGGACCTAACACCACCGGCTGTGGAGGCCATTGCGGAGAGTTTTGGTGAGTGGGTTATCGACGGCTTGGAGAAGGAGCAAGGACAACTTGTGGAGAAAGTTAGGGTGTCCCTTGGCAAGGACCCAAGGATTTCAGGACCAAATTTGAGTGTAGCTGTATTTTCTGGACTAGGTCGTGTAGGTTGTTTGGTATTCGATATGGGACTTGCAACTACACCGGCCTGCTTCATGAGTACAATTTTGCCTCCATTTTCCTACGACGCTTCAATCATGGTATAATATATTCAGCAACATCTACAAAATGGCACTGTTTGCACTAATAAAATGTAAAGTTAGACTAGGACTTATGAGGCATTTCCTAATTTATTGGGACGGGACCGTAAGTCTCCTTTCCTTTGGGGTCAAGGGTGGATGCTTACTTCTTGTGACCTTAAGGGCTCATCTCGCCTAATTCTTTACTTAGAAACAAATCGAGGCATGTTAAATGTGAGGTTGAAATCACAGTTCCTTCAAGTCAATTCTCATATCACATAAGATGTAAAACAATTACTATGATCATTTGATTTTGAACGTTGTACTGCAGATGACCGCATCTCACTTACCCTACACCCGAAATGGTCTCAAATTTTTCACCAAGAAAGGAGGACTAAGCTCGCCAGAAGTGGAAGACATATGCAATAGAGCAGCCCGAAAGTATGCCAATAGGCTCGCCAAAGTGTCAACATTGCTCAATGTCGCTCCATCAAGAGTTGATTTCATGAGCTCGTATGCAAAGCACCTCCGAGACATTATCAAGGAGAGAGTGAACCATCCGTTGCATTACGAAACTCCACTCCAAGGATTCCAGGTTCGGAATTGAATTAGCTTTTGGGAAATGAATTCTGCACACGCCTTTTCTCCTACTGTGCACACCAATTTATTTATATCTCTTGATTCTTCATTGATATATTCACGCGAAATGATGACTAATTGCTTTTTAATTAATGCAGATAATAGTGAATGCAGGTAATGGATCAGGAGGCTTTTTCACATGGGATGTGTTGGATAAACTTGGGGCAGACACCTTTGGCTCTCTATACCTTAATCCAGACGGAATGTTTCCGAACCACATTCCCAACCCTGAGGACAAAACCGCTATGGCGGTAACCAGAGCTGCAGTGCTAGAAAACTCTGCTGATCTTGGGATTGTATTTGACACTGATGTGGATCGCAGCGGCATTGTGGATAACAAGGGCAACCCCATCAATGGCGACAAGCTCATTGCTTTGATTTCTGCTATCGTATTGAGGGAACACCCTGGAACCACCATAGTGACCGATGCGCGTACAAGTATGGCGCTTACAAGATTCATCACGAATCGGGGGGGTCATCATTGCTTATATCGTGTTGGTTATCGAAATGTGATTGATAAGGGAGTGCAGCTTAACAAGGAAGGCATTGAAACTCATCTCATGATGGAAACATCTGGACACGGTGCTCTTAAAGAGAACCATTTCCTTGATGATGGTAATTAGCATTGTTGTTTTTGCATATTCTGTTTTCTACTTCCTTAATTTTGTTTTAATTTAAATTCTTATGTAGCTTATTTATCGTGCTCAAATTAAATAATTGTTCGTAGGAGCTTACATGGTGGTAAAGATCATCATCGATATGGTGCGAATGAAGCTTGCAGGATCAGACGAAGGGGTTGGAAACATCATAAAAGACCTTGAAGAACCGTCAGAGTCCATAGAGCTGAGGATGAATGTAATTTCTGAGCCTAGATATGCAAAAGAAAAGGCAGTGGAGGCCATTGAAACGTTCCGAGAGTACGTTGAGGTAATTGTTTTGAGCAACTCCTCATTAGTTCATGCAAAGTTCCTATGACCTTCACGCATTCAACAACTCTTCACATCCTTACCTTGTTTGATACGAAACACACATTGACTTTTAGGAAGGGCGGCTTGAAGGGTGGGAGTTAGATTCGTGCGGAGATTGTTGGGTCAGCGAGGGCTGTTTGGTAGACTCAAATGATGCGTCAGCTGCTGCCGTTGACGCACGCATGTACAGGTGCTGTACTAAATACATTTGAATTTGACGATTGTTTGAATTTAATCATAGCTACATTTCTTCAAATTTTAATTAAAACTTGTATGTTTCAGAGCAAAAGTATCAGATGAGGAACATGGACAGCATGGTTGGGTGCACATTAGGCAGAGCATTCACAACCCGAATATTGCAGTGAACATGCAATCAACTGCGCCTGGCTGTTGCCGAACAATGACAAGAGTTCTTCTAGATAAGTAAGTCATGTTGCTCCATATTGACGTTCGCCCTGCTACGTATGTAAATTCATAGAATGGTAAATAGTAATGTTCTAGAATGATTGATTCAATTGACGATATGTTTCGTTGCAGATTTCTCATAGCAAGCGGAATGGATAGAATTCTTGAAACTAACCAGATTGATAAGTATGCCAAGAGTGGAATTGTAGGCTGAGCTGCTATAATCTACGGTGAAGTTGCTAGCTAGGTATACAAACAGATGGATTACGTCACAAAACTTATGTATAATGTATAAATCTGCGACTTATAACGTTTGCCATGTTGGGTTATTTTTCGTATTCACAAACAATATGGATGCCAATCTCATCATGCCAAAAGCATCATACAACAAAATCAAGCTGTTATTTGTGAAGGTTTTGGTTTCCCCCACGATATTGACTTGTATCCGTTTAAAGATGATGGCGATTTAACTGCAGGACGCAAGTACTCTTGTCTATTGTAATCTGTTGAGATTCGTATTTCTTGCTGGTCGTCTTCATCTTGTGTGGACAAGGAGTTTGCGTTACTGCTACGCGATGAAGTCGAGCCAGTAAACATACTGTCATCAATCACTTCCTTTCCCTTCCATATGATCTTAATATTGCAGCTGGTGTCGGGCGCATTTCGTAGAATCTGACTGGCTATTCCACTTCCTTTCTTGGACCTCAGTTTCCTCAGACTTGATTCGATGGTTCCAACTACTAGGTTTCTTATGTTTTGAGTCGGAATAAGGTCTAGGATTGCCTTGGCAACTGTATCGCTCTCAATGAGCATAATTTTAACGTCATATTCATCAACATACAGAGGCTAATCAGTACTAATAAACTTGTAATTAAATAGCTATAGAGGGCCTGTATTTTGGAAATCTGATAATACCTTAGCAGATGAGCAGGCATCAACGTATCTGTCAAGGAGCTTCCTCCTCCTGTCTCTTTCTAGGGCCATGCAATTGTTCTCCATCTTTGGACTCACTGTATTTTTTGGAAGCATTCCTACTGCATGTCAGAAAAACCAAGACAGAAATATCTCTTACTAATCATCAATTAAATGTTAAAAAATCAGTTAATTAATTAAATGCAGTCATAACCCTATGGTTAATTAGTCGCCTTTACAGCTAGAAAATCTGTGTAATCTGAAACTTGTGTTGAACTCCTGTAGTGTAAGACTTTGATGGATTCAACTCGAATCAGTAACTTGTGCAATACACACACGCCAGATATGTCAACCCTTGTATCACTCTCAACTTTGAAATTTAGTAATCAACTAAATTATAAAAAGAATAAAAAATATATTTGATAATATAGATCAAATGTATGAATCATGACATCTGAGTCATCTGACTATACAGCATGCATGTTCATCGTATTAGGCTCTTACAATTTGGGATTGCTTTAGGAAAGGTTAAAACCGCTTTATGACAACCAAAAGAAGTTTTAACTGTGATTAATAGAAAAACGTAAAAGTGTTTCAAGATCTTAGCTAGAAGCCTAGAAGCGCTTTCTAAAAATTGAGGACTTGAACATTTACTAACAATAATTGACGTGTTTTTAATTGAAGAACACTTTTAGCAAACACGCTAATGAACTTACAAACAAGCCTTCCTCATCTGACCTCCCTCCAACTGACCGCCGGGCGGCGACATGCACACGCAAACACACAGAGACATGGTTCATGCCTTCATGGACACAGAGATGCACGTGAATGCAATTGACGATGATGAGAAGATGAATTAGATAACTGAACTTACAAGGAGAAGGAACAAATCGCATCGGTGGGAAGACATGGACGATGACTATTACTGGTGATCGATCATGATCATGTGTCACTGCGGCGCGACTCAGTGTCCAGAGAAGCGCATCCATGCTATACTCGCTCTTCTGGCCCCCAACTGCTACATAGTATTGATAAGGACCGACCTCTTCCTCTCCCTTGGAATTATTCTTAAAGTTAAAATTAAAATCAATGGAAAACAGGCTTTCATCATCATCGTCCTCCTCATAATAAGCAGCTTCTAATTCTTCTTCGATGGACGTCAAGGCCAAAGGCAAAGGCAAGGGCATCCTCGTCTCTTCCTTTGTCATCGTCGTGCTTATAATAAAAGCGCCGTTAAACTGCTGGCGACCGACGTCGTATGCACCGGCAACCAAGCCCAATTGTTCCGACTCCGATATAATTGGATCTTTTGAAAGAGGCAGCAGAAAAAAACTAGAAAGTGAAGCAGCCTAGCTAGCCAGCTTGCCGTGTTTTGTTCGCACCGTAAGCGTAAAAAACTTTGATTTGTATCCTTAATTTTTAATTTAATTTATAGCCACTATTTTTTTTTTTTTACATAAGTATGTCAATTACATGTCACTTAATACTACAGTATAATGATATTCTTTTCACTTAATATGGCTTGCCCATTAAGAAGTTTAGCCCACTTCATCACCCTTAGTGCAGCGAATATCACTTCTTCTTCTTCTTCTTAAAAGAAAGCGAATTGTTATTAGTACTCCAAAAATCTCATTTGACACTCCAAATTTTCTATAATTAGAAAGACAAATACACTTGTGAGGAGTGTAGAATGAGATTTTTAGAGTGTTAATAACAGTTCCTAAAAGAAAAGCCAATTATATATTTATTTTATGTTTTAAATTACTATGTGAAGAATAATAATAGGGTTTAAATAATCTTTTTTGTTCAATAATATTACTCTCTTATAGATTTTTAAGTAATTCCTAAATTTTAAAATATTATTTACTCTTATTTGAATTTGTTTAAATGTATAATTTATAGCATGTAGAAAGAGTTATCTTAAATAATGACAAGAATTTCGATCAAAATATTAAACAAATATGATTTCAATCCAACGATTAAGTTGACCAAGGACTGAAACTAAAATCACCGTTAATTCTATGTACTATTGGTTTCAGTCTAAACTTTTCATGCCGTTTTGTCTTTTGCGTGTACGTTGTTGTGGTGAGGTCTCTCACTTCATTTCTGTTTGTTATTTGCTTTGCAAGAGATTTTTTTCCTTCAAATATACAAAAGAAAAGGACTGAAATAGAATAGAAAACGGATCCAAATGGTAGCTCTGAGTATATTCATATGAAATTATGAATTATAACGTACTTAGCACAATTTTTTATATTAATATTATTATTAGAGGATACAAGAGTTTGAAACTATTATAATAAATTAGGAGAGGAAGAAGTTTCGAACTGGAAAGTAAACCAACACTTTTATCTACTAGGATATTGGACCACATAAGTAGTACAAATTGGAATCTATAAATATATTCATTATAACAGGGTATAACTAATTCACAATGATGCTTGTGACATCCCACATCGCCCAGGGGAGTGATCCTTAAATGTATATTCTCATCCCTACCTAGCACGAGGCATTTTGAGAGCTCACTGGCTTCGGGTTCTGTTGGAACTTCGAAGTTAAGCGAGAAAGTGGCTAGAGCAATCCCATGATGGGTGACCCACTAGGAAGTTGCTTGTGAGTTCCCAAAAACAAAACCGTGATGGAATGGTAAGCCCAAAGCAGACATTATCGTGCTATGGTGGTGGAACGGGCTCAGAAAGTGATCCGCCACAAGGCGGGATGTGACAAATTGGTATCAGAGCCTAATCCTGGTCGTGTGTGTGCCGATGAGGACGTCGGGCCCTTAAGGGGGGTGGATTGTGACATCCCACATCGCCCAGGGGAGTGATCCTTCAATGTATATTCTCATCCCTATCTAGCACGAGGATCACATGATGCTCTCCTAATGTTCTTATTTTGAGAACTTGTGAGGGTGAAATGCATATTAACCACAAGATTATATTAGGTTAGATAAAAAGGATTATAATACTAAAAATAATATTGGTATAAATTAAAAAAAGGATACAAATTATAAGCAGAAATATATGGAAAAAAAATACAAAAAATATATATATATATATTTAAAAATGATTAATGAGTTTTTTATTTTTAAAATTACCATATAATGACTTGTAAATAATCTAACATTCCAATCATGACATGGGGAAACGTCAAGAAACTTTTATCAAAAATGAAAACAGAATAAAGTTTAATTAATGAGAAAGAAAAATGATAAATAAGAGCCTAATTTATCTTATGAAAATGGTAATAAGAGAAACATTTTTGGTATAGTAAGAGAGTAAATTATTAAAATAATATTAATACACTTATGGATGAAACAAAGGGATTTGGATCCTCTCTTAAGCTCAGCTTGCTGAGCATCTTGACCAAATCATACGGACCGTTGGATTTTGATCCAACGGTTATAAACAAGGGGTCTCTCTAAAAGTTATAATAATTGTAGTCGTTGAATTAAATTCCAACGACCCTTGTAATTTGCTTAGGAGCTCAGTAGGCTGAGCTCAGGAGATGATTCAAATCCGAAACAAAGACATGTTGGGGTAACTAATGGGTGGGACAGTCGATCACCTGACATTCTCAATTTCTTAGTTTTATATTGAAATATGAGGGTAAAAATTGGAAAGGGATCATCTCCGGATCCCTTCCTTCTAATCTACTAAGTCTTGGAATTCGGATCATTAAAATTTGATTCAACAGCTAAAGTTATTATAACTTTTAAAGTGCATCACTGTTTGTAGCCGTTAGATTAAATTTCAATGGTTCAAATTTCTGAACTTGATAGATTAGGAGGAAGGGATCCGAAGATGATACATTTCCGTAAAAATTGCTTTCTGATTAGGATCAGACAACTATTAAGGATTGCCCTGCTGCTCGCAATATATAATCTAAGAATTTGGTGTTACAATCATCTTAAACAAATCTTGCTTTATGTCCCCCACTTGTGCTTTTATTCAATCTGGAAAACCACAGTACAATATGCAATTTAGGGGGCGTTTGTTTGCCCTCACTAAGTCGGACTGGACTGGACTGGACTAGCTATTAATCCAATACTGTGTTTGTTCCATGCTGGGACTAACATTAATGAGACTAAAGGGGACTAGCATGGACAAAACCCTTCACTAAGAGGTCTTAGTGAGACCCCCCAATAACCATGGGACTAGCTAAGACTGTCCTCTATTTCTCGTCCTTGTCATGCTCAACGACCACTCCCGATAGACTCCTCGTCATCTCCGGTCACCTAGATTAATCATTAACTTTTCGACTCTCTTTCAGATCCATTTCACAACCAACTTTCATATAAAATATACCAAATTGAAGCTGGGAGTGACAAGATTACGATTTTACTTGAATTGAGGCCAAAATGTGGTCGAATGTGGCCGAAAAATGGCCTGGAAGTCTCGGCCTGCTGGGCTTCTTCAAATCCATGACAGATTCGAGCATGCAAAGCTAAGATCTCGGTCCAGGGATGGTGATAAATTTTTTGGCGGTGCTAACTTCATCCAATTTAATGAGGGTTGGCCAAAAAACACATCGAGAAACTTGCAACTCGTCTGGAAAATTGGAGCCGTGAGGTTACGTTCGAACAACGCAAAGCTAGAGAGAGAGGGAGGACAGAGAAATAGAGACTGGAATCAATAAGGAGTTTGACCAGGAATGAGAAAGAGACATGAATTGAGAGGTCTGAAAGGAAAAAAAGAGGGAGAGGGTGGGACAATGAGAGAAGAGGAAAAGAGTGGGACGGAAATGGTAGGAAAAGATGGAGAAAAGATAATATCATAATAAAAATATTAATAATTTATATATTAAATAAAATAATATTAGAATTGTTATTATCCAGCTTCTTAATCCAATACTGCAACCAAACGCTTCACTAAGTTAGTCTAGTTTAGTCTAGTCTAAGCCAGTCCAGCTTAGTCCTTGAAGCTAATCCAGTCCGAGATAGTCCGGCGCAACAAACGCCCCTTAGGGTCTATGACTAGATTTCTTGTCTGTAGTGTTCCGTTTTTTCTTTCCTGATTATATGATCACTATCGTACTTGAGGCTCATTAGTTCTTGATGTACTTTAGTCTTAAGAACCTTAAACATCTAATTAAAACATATCATCATTTTTTAAGGCACGATTTTCTTTCCTCTGGTTCTGATACATATACATATATTTTGTTGGTTTAGTTACCACTGGTACGAATTTTTTAAACTGGACTTTTGGTTGGAAATTTATATTTGATCTTCAATGGATATTGGAAATTCAAGTCATAATTTCACATACAATAGTACTAGTTGTACTGAAAGCTTGGAAATTAGAAATATCGATATCCATTACCATTAATACATAGAAGAAGCAAGAAATTAAAAGGAGATGCTAAAGCTTCCCACTAGCACCCTGGCCAGCTTTTATATACGTACCATACTATATGACTATTTTTCTTCTTATGCACACCTCCTCTTGATTTTGGTTTTCGCTGTATATATATATATATATTTTTGTGGTTACTAAAAGAGTATGCCAGAAATAAAAAATAGAGTACATAAATCGTCTTCTAATTAATTAATTTATTATTGAGAAGGTGGGCATCAATATTGTTAGTCAGAAGAACCAAAAAGTCCATGTACTTATGAGGAACCGGAACACCTTCCGTCAACTTCTCATACTCGACGGTCCATTTCACTGATGAGCTGCTGCATCCCCCACTAACCTTTGGTGTGACTTGAACCGTAGCCTTGAAACTCTTGTAGCATTTCGCCAACTGTCCTCCTACTGTTCGGAAAGTCACTGATTTGCTTTTCTCATCTATGGCTTCAATTGTCTCTCTAGAAACCTCAGAAACATTGTCTATCATGCAGGTATATAATTAATTAAGAAAATATCAGATCGCTGGGTCCAGGTTAGGTTATATAGTCGAACGAGTAGTATATATATAAAATATTTTAAGTTGGCATGCATAAATTTTTTTCCATTAATTGTTAGTGTTACCTGCAGCAAAGTAAGTCCATTGCTTGACTGAGCCCACAGAGCCCCAGTCACCTTGGATGACCTGAAGGTCCTTTATGACATTAGGGCACATCTTGGGCAACAGGTACCCTTTGCTAAGAAAGATTTCGTAGAACTTGTCGGCACTGGCTTTAATCTCAGCCTGGACCTCCATCTTTGCTATTTGAGCCATAGCGTTCGATCTTTTTAACTTTGTAATTTGTATGAAATTAGCTAGCTAGAGTCTGGTGAAAAAATGACTCCCCCTTGGTCTTTATATAGAAGAAATAAAATAGCTAGATAAAGTATAATATGCCTTCACTTCGAGCCAATTGCAAATGTGGATCGGAATTGGGGTGGTTTTTCTGACAAATTTAATTTAGGTTTGGAGTTCTGTTTGCTGGTCCCTCACTAGCTAGGGCAACTGGGCAAGTAGATTTCTGTTTTAGCAGTGTCGTGTTAATTTGATGCTCATGGCCACTATCTTACGGTGGATCAGATGAGGATTCTATTCTATCTTTTTCAAAAAGAGATTATATACTTTCCTAAATTATATTGTTCTTTCCTTTTTGTTGTTCCTGTGTTTCTATCAAGAAAGGAAAATACGGATAAGGCACTTAGTACTATAGTTAAGTAATATTTCTCTTAAGTATCAATTTATTATTTTCATCCCTTAGTGTAAAATGTGTAAATATATCGTTGTATCAACAAACAAAAAAATTATTTGAAAAGGGCAAAGCCAAAAGCATTTTGCCTTTGTTTTTTCTCCCACTAGCCTTTAATGCCGAAAATTCGAGTTTGTTTCCAATTTTATGTAAATCAAGCTCTTACAGTGGGCTGTAGACTTTGTGTTCTTTGAGAGTGGATCCAATTCTTGAGTTTAATATATGAAATTCATGAGTTAGAAAATTACAACAAAATTCTCCACCACACCTGTCATTTTTCACGAATAAACGATTGAGATGATATTTAGTTAAATATCAACCATTTGCCTTTGTCCTTTCATGAGCATTAGACCAAAGTTTGTATACGATAGGTGACCAATCATTTAGGAGTGAATAAAGGGAATAACCCACCATAAAATAGGAAAAATAAAAAATAGGTGAGTCCTACAGCAGTAAACAGTAGAACTCAAGACAAACTCTGAAACTCACACGGTTGTAGTAATCAAACTGAAGATGTTTTTTATATCAGAAATTACACAGAAGATGTTTCTTATATAAGAAATGTTGTTGCATGATGAGTCCATATTATACCATATATTTTACCCTTATCTTAGTATTAATATATTAGTTATTTTGGTAGAATTTTGATAATTTGTTATACATTTTTAATGTAAAATATTCAACTTCATTTGGAGCAAAAAGTGATCAAACGGATGAATTTTGGAGTGATTCCAATTGGAGGATGTTCATGAGTCTTTCAAGATAATTGTATCAAAATTCCAGATTTTTTTACCAAGCTATTTGATCATGGCGATGAAATAAAGGCCCAGCACGTAACTTTCCCAGATTGACGTTTCTGGATGTTTTGGGTATTTTGGAGGTCAAGATGACATATTTTGAGAAAAATCATTCTGAGGATTTGTAGAGGACGTCTCCAACTTTCAAAAGAGACCTTTTGAGACCAAATCAGAGTTGATTTGGTCGATAAAAGTCTGATTTTCTAAAAAGTCCTAATTTCAGTTTAAATAGGAAACTCTTTATTTTCTGTTTTATTATTTTATTATGTTTCCTAGTTTTATTCTAAGACTTTTTAGGGTTTTATTTTTTAGTAGTATAAATAAGACTTTTTAGCTGTTAGGTTAGAAGGGAAGGAGAGGAGGAAACGCACGCACACTTTAGAGAGTTTTTCAAGTTTATTTTCTAGGTGTTTTCTATCCTTATTCTCAAAAATATTTTGTTTTATGATTGTTTGTAGCTAATTTCTTTTGCTAGGGTGAAGCCACAAGCCTTAGCATGAATATGTGATTTTATTAATTTGCTTATGAATAGATGCATGCTTGCTTTGAATTATTAATCACCATGATTAAACTATTTAATTGTCATAGTGATTCGTGATCATTAGGGTTTTTAGACAAGTAATTTGATGCAATTTCTGTTGGAACATCACCCTGAAATTGAAGAGGGCTTATTGATGCAATTTCTTTTAGGTTATGTGCCCAATCCTCTATCTGTTGTGGTGAATTTTATTGGTAGTTATGCCTTTTCAAACTTTTGGTGTTAAGAGCACAATGCTAAATATTTTAATGTCACATAAATATTCCAAGTCGTCAATTTTTTGGATGAAATTCCAACTGCTAATCTCTTTATCATTAGACAATTGGACTCACAATGCGTTAGGGCCAGTTTTGCTATTAGTATAGTTAGCTAACTCTAGAAATGAATCAGGGTTAGAGATTTTTTCTAGTGTTTGTAAACTTCTAGCGCTTCGTGTATCATTGCTTCCCCTTCGCTTTAGATTTCAACTAACTATTAACCAAGTATCTATTAAAATTAGTGACCATGGCTTCTTCTATGAGACGCTTAACTTGTATTGAACCCGAGTTCTTGTGTTATTTATTCTAGAGAGATTGTTAGGCCACTTTGTATTGAAACATTCTTCTGTTTTGAGAAAATTTCTACCATTTTATCATTGGGAAGTCGATTTCACTTTGTCTCTGGGGGGTATATGTCCACTACCATGCATATAGTGATACCATTTTGAACAGTTAGATTGAAGTCTAAAGCGAAAGGGACGTTTTAATTGATTGTGGTTGTGTGTTTGTGTGTGTAGGTTAGTAATATGTACGTTCAGTTCAAGGAGGAAGAACATGCTCAAGATGCGCTTCAGAATCTCACTGGGAGGTTCTATGCAGGTTAGTTCCCTTCTTTTTCTTATCTTGATATATTACGAACAACATGATCGATAGTTGCGATGGTATGGTGGTTTTATCGTCGCTGTAATATATTTCGCCGAAGTCACTTTCCTGTCTTTTGATTGATTCGTGATTGGTAGATGTATTGTGCTACATGACAGTTCAGTGTTAATGGTTGATAGTTGTATGGTTTTTCCATATGTTAATTGGGGTTCAAACTTCACTACGATCACTTCGAATTTCGTCCAATTTTCTCTTATCCTCTATTTGGTTCTTGAGAAACTGTATTGTGCTGATGGATTTACTTCATTTAGCAGTTTACATGTTTTCTTATATTTATTTATTTCTTTTCTTTTGCTGCAGCCATGTCTATCGAAGAAGATAGAATGTGAAACATTGTGAGGGCCAGTTCCTTGGATTTCAATGCCTGGACTTCTTTAATTGAAGAGACAGAGGGTTGTAGAGGTGCGTTAACTGGATTTTTGAGTCATTAGATGAATTGTTTGGGTGAGTGTGAATCATCTAAGGTTGCAAATGATAAGGTTTTGGCAGAGAAATTGTTGTTATTTAAATGTGAATAATATGAGGTTGCAAAACTATGAACTTCATTGTACTTTCTACATGTCTTAGATATTTATGTGATTGTCAGTTGCCTTAGCATACCATGGTCTGCCCATGGTTTTGCATTAGTGATTGCATGCTACATTTTCTAAATAAGATCTCTGTTATCATTATCTATTTGAGAGGCTGTTTTTTGGCAAGAGATGTGACTATGATTTGTTGTATAGGATATTATCATCACATGGATGCTTGAAGGCACATAACAGTTGCCTTGACCTTTAAGAATATATGTATGGCAAATGAGCTGTTGCTTAATCAAACTTACTGCTATATGCTTGATATTATTAATACATGAGTACATGCTTTATCATCGAAGAAATGAAATTCAATTATGATATAAGTACATACTTTCTTGTTGACAAATTGGTTAAGATTCATGGCTACAATTTGATTATGGATTAATGATGCTTTTGTTTGTGGAACTGATTTTTATTCTATTTGCAGAATTAGGCGGGTAGTTGTCAGTCACACAAAAGTTTGTCTTTGAGATCGTAACTAATGCTCTTCACTAAGCCACTAAATTATTCTCCTATTTTCCTCTTGCCTTGTGGCACACTCCTTTTCTAGTTTTTCTGTCACTTACTAGCTAAATGTATTGTGGTCTTACAAACTTGAGAATTAGCACAACACTTAAAGACTTGCTTTGTATTTTATTGGTATGGTGCTTTTTTGTGATCAAATTGGTTGCTTTATGGATATGGAGGATGTGCTTGGGAGATTACTTTGTGTTTTTTGGTATGATTTTATTTTTTAGTCATCATTAGGTACCTCTGTCAACTTTAGGATGTGCATCAATTGTAAGAGCAACAAAATAATTTAGATTTTTTGTTTGTGCCAAAACTTCCAATTGTACTGTAATTGACAATATTTACTAATTAATCTATATTTGGAGTTTAATGTGTTTATGATGATTATTGTTATCTTTCTATTGTATTCCTTTCAATATTAATTTAGATGTTATGAAATGAGGTCTGTCTAAAATGAATTGTTAAAATAAAAATTAAAATAAATGTAAACTACGGCATGCAAAAATCAACATTAATTGTTGATGGTAGTATTTTTTTACGATGTACGACGTATGCCGTAATTGCCTTTACAGTGTTACGACACTTAATAAACGTTGTATCTAATATAAATTATAGCATATATGTATGCTGTAATTGGTTTTGCAGTATTACGACTCCCCATTAACTCCATATCTAATACCAATTAAGGCTCACAATGCACGCCTTAAAGATCGTTTACGACGTGTTTTGTTTAAATTATTCACAACTACTATAGTATGTCGTATTTGACAAAACATCTTTTACGACATGGGCTTTTATTGCTTGGGGGCTCACGCCGTGAGTAACCGTTTACGGCGCTCTTTATGCGCCGCAAAAGACCAGTTCTGTTGTAGTGCATAAATAAAACTTCCAGTATTGAGAGAAATTGACTCTGAATTCTCTTCCCAATTCCAGGCAACTTCTTCATCAAATACAACGTCTCTTGATAATACTAGTTTCTTGGATAATGGATCAAATACCCTATACCCCTTTTCACAAGTTGCACATCCCACAAATACTCCTTTGAAGCTTTTAGGCTCAAGCTTATGTCTGTGTTCACTTGGAACATGAACATAGCATAGTGAACCAAATACTCTCAGGTGTGTTATTCCTGGTTTCCTCCCAGAATAAGTTTCAAAAGGTGTGATGTTGTTCAAAGTCCTTGTGGGACATCTGTTTAGAATATACACTGATGTGTGAACTGCTTCTGCCTAGAGAAAGTATGGCATTCTCTTCTTATGCAACATGGATTTAGCCATCTCAATCACAGTTCTGCTTTCCTTTTCACTACTCCATTTTGTTGTGCAATATATATAAGAGTGAACTGTCCTTGTATTCCTTTTTTTTCACAGAATAGATCAAATTCAGATGACTTGAACTCCCCTCCTCTATCACTTCTCAGACACTTGACCTTGAATCCACTTTGTAACTCTGCCATAACTTTGAATTTTTTAAAATAATTGAATGTTTCAGACTTGTATCTTAGAAAATAGACCTAAGTCATTCTGGTGAGATCATCTATTAACAGCATGAAATACTTATTTCCAGCAATTGAATCATTCTTCATAGGTCTACACATATCAACATGAATTAGTTCAAGTGGAGCAGTTGCTTTTTGCACTTAATTTCTTGGAAACTCTTTTCTAGTGTTGTTTTCCAAATTGGTAACCTTCACAGACTCCATTGTAGTCTTCAAGCTGAGGCAAACCATGCACCATTTCCTTGTCTCTCAATTGTTTGAGACCATCAAAGTGTAAGTGCCCAAATGTCATGTGCCAAGTCTCAGTAGAGTGAGTGACACTAGCTTTCCAAGCCACCTAATTCTCAGATAATAAAGTCAATGAATAACACTTATTCACTTTCTTCTTCACTTTCACAACCAAGCATTCTAGTGATAGACCATCAAACACATTGCACATTCCACCACCAAACACCAAGAAATATCCATGCTCATCCATTTGACCAACACTTAGCAAGTTTTCTTTTAAGCCAAGTAGGTACATTACTTCTCTAACATACTTTTTGCCTTTGTTTGTATCAAACACCAATGAACCCATTCCTGCAACATTCACAAGGTCTCCAGTTAGCATTTGAACTTTGCCATCTATGTTGGTTCTCACATCAACAAGCAATTCCACATTTCCTGTCATGTGGTTGCTACAACCACTATCAATGTACCGCTCTCCATTCACCTTTGGTTCTGTGACTGTGATATTTGCATAAAACAGATTTCCTGTCATCTCCACTTGATTAGCATTGTTTGCCTTTTGCACTATTTTAGCCGCATTACATTCTCTAGCCCAATGCCCAAATTTATCACAATTGAAGCATCTTGGTTTCCCTTTGTATCTACACTCACCAAAATGGTACTTAGAATACACCTTGCACTGAGGCTTTGCAACCTTTTGACTCATTGACTGAGATGCATTCATATTTTTGATAAGTATTCATAAGAGATTTCTGTTGAAACTTGGGTTTTGATTCCCATTTCTTGCCTTTAGAATTCCAGTTTCTCTGAAATCTAGATGAACCAGAATCAGCACCACCCTTGTTTTGTTCATTTGGATTCACAGAGAGTGAAACAAAGGCTCTCTCAATGGTATCAACATTGTGCAAATCCAAACGTTGATTTTGGCTTTTCAAAATTGCCACAACCTCCTACAATTCTACAGTCTCCAAACACTTTGTATTCTCAATGACTAGACATATGGGATCATATGGTTTACTAAGGCTAATTAGAACTTTTTGTACAAGTTTTTCATTAGACAGAATTTCACCAAATGTTTTCATCTGATTAATCAAGTCATTTAGCCTAGTAAGATACCCAGATAGAGTTTCATCATCACGCATTACAGCATATTCGAATTCACGTCTCAGATTTTGCAATTTCACAGACCTTACCTGATCACCAACATGGTACTCGCCATACAACAAATCCCATATCATCTTTGCTGATTCTGCATTGGCGATTCGTGGGATATTTGATCTGAAACTGCATTTTGTATGATTCCCAGAGCCTTTGCGTCTTTCATCAACACAACAGCCATTTCTTCATCTCCATCATCCTCCGATGATCCTTAAACTTTCTTCTCATTTGAATCTAAAGTTTTAGCTCCATTCTCTACCAGATTCCACAACCTAAGTGATTTCTTGTCACCATCTTAATTCTCCAGAACTCGAAGTTCTCACCGAAGAAAATTGGAGTTCTCACTTCTGAGCCTCCAGATCCAGACATCTTTGGTCCAAATAGGTTGATTTCTCTTCTTAGATGATAACTGGACTCCAACGACCTTCACTAAGCTACGAGCAAGCTTCGATTCAGCTTAGTGGATTCACAGATTTATGCCCAGGCTCAGATGATCGAACCTGGCTCTGAGGCCATGTTGGGTTTTTAGATCACTGGGCCCGCCCCACTCTAACAACATCGATATTGTCCCCAACTTAACCAGCTGCCCAATCCTTCAGGTGTGGGGTTTTACCATAAAATGCCTCGATATTAGTTAGAGTGGCGTAATACTATTTAAACCCCTTGGTTTCTTTTCACCCCACCGATGTAGGACTTTAACAAGTTATCGCAAAAAAGAGTTGGCGACTATAAAGTTTTCCTTTTTAGATCATCCCTGTACGTAAGGCCTTTAGTGAACTTCTATGGCAAGAAATATGCTTGATCGTTGTTGATAAATTAGAATCATCAAAATATTTCCTCGTTGAAAGTTCGTCATTTTGTCGATAAAAGTTGCTCCTTGCTGCTAGACAGAGGAAAATAGAAAAAATTCTGAAAACATTGCAAGGAAATTAGGATCTATTTATTGATTTGCAAAAACGCCCCTCCAAAGCTAGCAATTTTTTTCTTCAAAATTTAATATTAACCGATTAACTCTTTGAATTATTATAAATAGCCAATTTCTCCTATGCGTTTAGATTTTGATTTTTTTTCATCCAAGTTTTCATCATCGTGGTCACGCGGACATACATGGCAAATGTATAAGGGCAAACTGGGCACAAAGCCACTATTTTGCAGCTGCTAATTGGACTCTCAGGGCTAATTCAAACAGAAGTAAGAAGTCAACTAGCAAAAAAGAAGACGAGAAAAATAATCCGTTGTATACATTAGGAATAAAATTACTTGATTGCCCCCAAACATTTTCCGTGTGACCAAAAGTGATTAGAAAATTGGATGAAAAATTTCAAAATCTAACGTTAGGGGAAAATTGGTTAATTATAAAGTTCAAGGAGGTAGGTGGCTAAAACTTAAGTTCAGAGGAAAACTAGCAATTCCTTACAAGTTCGCAGGGGTGGAGGCCCCAGGAGAGGAGGCGGAGGGGGGAGGGGAATCGACAAATACCTCTTGTTGTTATTGTGGGCCGTTTGAATAATTTTTTTTTTTTTTAAAGAAACCACTTCCTAAATTAATCCCTTAAAAAAGTTTGTACAACCCAAATATGTAATGTTTAAACAAAAATACTACTCTTACGGTATTTTTTTATCTCAATTGTACCACCTCTAATAGAGATGAAACCCACTTATGTGGTGGACCCAATCTCTATTAAAGAGATGATACAAATATGATAAATGTATCATTACTCTTAAATGATTAAGCTTTGTGCACGATGAATTTTTTTTTTGGATGATTAACCATTGGGATATATAAGTGAGGGGAATGCAGGTTTCAGTAATAAGACAATTTTTTTTTTCAATTTGATCGATATAGATAGTAAATTTTTTTTTTTTTTTTGAACAAATATAGATAGTAAATCATTTAACTAATAATATACGGATCGATGAAGGAAACAAAAAGGTTTGGGTGGGTGGGTAAATCTCTTTTCTCACTAATTTATGGAGCGACAAGCTTCTATTGGATGACGGTTTTTTAGTTTGATGCATGTAAATAGTAAATTATTTAACTAATAATACATGGATTTTTCGATGAAGAAAAAAAAAAGAGAGAGAGAGGTTTGGGCTGTGTGGCTGGGTCTGTGAATCTCTTTCTCACTAACTTATGGCTTGTGGCAAGCGTTTAGATGGTGGTTGGACCCATTGATAATATGTGCTTGAAAGTCCACCCATGGATGGCAAGGGCGAAGGCTTGAAACATGCTCTCCAACCCAAAAACCCTCATCCAGCAGGCCAAGAAGAAGAGGGCAGCCTGAGCAACTTATGCTCAGCCCTTAAGCTAGCGGGCAAGGCTAGTGTCAACATGATGTCAGTCATGTTGTTTATTTTTATTTTTTTTTATTTTTTTGTGTCTGGCGTGTGCAATGAACGCATGAACTTGGCAAGTGAGCCAACAACTTCGGTTGTCATGGGGCCCACTGCATAATCTAATAGCTACCACCAACGTCTCTATGACGTGGCAATTTGTGAGTCATTAAATTTTAAACAGCCTGATGTTCTGGACTATTGGATTTCCAACAGTAAAAAATCGAAAAACTTATCATTTTGACATGTGTCACGTTCTAATGCATATGATTTTAGATCTGTTTGGAAATGAATGCCATGATTAATCCAGCGGTTCAATTTTTTTTTTTATTATTCTATAAATACCGAACCATCTTCTACATTTCTCTCATCGCAACTTCGTATTTATTTTTACTACAATCTTCTAAATTTGTCTTCAACTTTTCAAATCCTTTTATTACTAAAAAATGAATGAGAAGGTACTTTGGTCAGTCAAGGAAGATGTTGCTCTGCTTTGTTTTTCACTTTCCAAATCCTTTTATTACTAAGAATAATATTGTTTCAATATCGTAGTTGGTTATCTTAGTATGCTATGCTTTTGCCTTGCATTTGAAATAAATTATTGAAATTAGACAATCGTTTTATTTAAAAAAAAAATAAACTTACCAAGTTCACACGTAAACATACTTACCCAAACTTACAAAGTTCAGCACACTTGCAAATAACACAATTAAAATTAAACACACCAACAAACATGGATTACACTTACAATGCCAAACAAAGCATACATACATACATATATATATATATATGTGTATATTATATTCATGAACAGTATTTCCCTTACTCTTGTCTTTGCCCAACGGGTAGAGTTGCACAAAGACAAGTATTATTCATGGTAAAAAGTACGGGCAAGCCAACTGCCTTGTTCTTACACTTGCGCTCTCCAAACGGGTGAAACTGCTATTAAGATCGGTCTGAAGTAGGCGCGCTTATTCTTGGGTGAGGAAATTATCAGTCTCCTTAACAAGAATAACAGCCAACTGGAGCTGAAGTTGTGGATCCGGAACCCCATCATGTAGCTTTTCATATTGTAGGACCAAATTCACCACGCTGCCCTCATCATGAACTTCTAATTTTGGAGTAACTTGTAAAGTGATCTTAAAGCTCTTGTATCGATCTAGAGGGTTTCCTTCAAGCACTGTGAAAGTCACCGAATGATTTACATCGTCTATGGCTTCAGTTAACTCCTTGGAAAAAGTTGGTTTCCCATCTGCTAACATTTAATCACAAAATCAATTACTTGCTTCATCCACAAAAAAAAAAAACATGTCGACATATATAGTAAGAGAACGATCTTTGAGCCACACTTACCTTCAATATAATCCCACAAGAAGACACAACCCACTTTACCCCATTCACCTTCAAGTAATTTATGACTCGGAACTTTGTCGGGGCTGATGTTGCATATTTCGTACGGTGTTCGTGCGAAGAATTCATGGAACCTGTTTGCTTCAGACTTGATTTCAATACTCGTCTCCACCTTGCTAGAATTTGACATTTTCCACCAGTACCAGAGTTGAAGGAAAAACAACTTTGGCCCTTACACTTATATAGAAGAAAAGAGGGAAACAAAAACTTTACAAGAACCTAACAATTTGCCCATGCCATCAGACATGGATGTATTTATTCACTAAAAAAAAATGCGTTAGTTGTATTATTTTACTAGAACCGAACAATTTGCCCAGTAGACATGAATGGTGGAATATCTTGATCAATATTATTCCTCGTTTGCTCTCGTCGTTTCTAAGAAAACAATGTTTTGTGGTTTTATTATAACTGGACACAAAATGTTTTGATCTTGTTCGTTTCTCTGTTTGTATGCTTTTATACATGTTATTTCTAAATAATTTGTTTGTTTTATGGTAGGCATCTTTAAAAGTAAGATACCCATTTGTTTTTAGAGAAATGTTGTTATCACCTAAAAGTTTAAGTGTGTATTTATAATTATTTATATTTAAAAAGAAAAATATTTTTACAATGAATGCACAATTAGATTTTTGTAGTGTAAATTTTCTGCCTTCAATTTCGACTACTTAAATATATGATCCGATTGACCCCCAAACATTGACGGTTTAAATATTTACGGCTAGGGAAGACGAATTCACCCAAACCTCGAACTCCTTTTCTTAGGAAATAAATTGAAGGTTATAATCTAAGGCCAAATTCAAACCGAAACAACAACATTCTATTCTATAATTTCTCCTAGTCCTGATCGGTTAGGGATTCTAGTAGTTCGTTTACAAACTACGTTGGCTAATATATTTCAGTTACAACTTCATATATAAATGCATTCTTCGTCGAATTAACAAATAATCAGTTTGTGTAATTAATTAAGAACAAGAGGACTCGAAACAGAAGCAGCAAAACATGACCATGACCAACATCGACAACGTTTTGGAGCCGCCCATCAATTTCTCGATGGTGGATGAGGGCGTATTCCGATCAGGCTTCCCGCAGCCGTCAAACTTCCCATTCCTCCAATCCCTTCAACTCCGTTCCATTATCTATCTCTGCCCCGAGCCCTACCCGGAGGAGAGTTTGGAGTTTCTTCGGTCGCAAGGCATTCGGCTCTTCCAGTTCGGAATCGAGGGCAAGAAGGAGCGGTCTACGTCTCCGCTGATTCCAGCAGAGACCATCTCCGAGGCACTGAAAGTTTTGGTTGATGTTGAGAATCATCCGGTGCTGATCCACTGCAAACGCGGCAAGCATCGGACTGGTTGTCTGGTGGGTTGCCTGAGGAAATTTCAGAATTGGTGTTTGTCTTCGGCGTTAGAGGAGTACCAGCGGTTTGCCGGCGAAAAATCTAGGAGGACGGATTTGAGATTTATAGAGACGTTTGACGTATTGGGCCTCAAGGGGGACGCTTTCAGGGCATTCTCCGCCATTATTATTAAGCTTATGCTTCCGGAAAGAGGCGGTTGTTGTACAAACAAGAGTTGCAAACCCATAAACCCTAGGTGATGTTTTAGTTTTTACATATTGAAATTTTATGCCCTTTTAGTTGTACCAAAAAGAAAATTCATTCATTCAATTAGTGACGGGTCCATGTATGGGAGTGCTTTTTTTGTTGTTGTTGATTTAGCATAATCACGAAATTTAGGACATGCTTATAAATTTAGTGCTCAATTTAGGAGTGGGAAATTTTTATGAATATATGACATGCATGTTTACTTAAAAAATTAGAATGAAAAATCATGAATCGAGAAAGTCAAAAATACAATGAAAGAAATTCACATAAAATTAACTACCTATGATAAATTTGTTTCCTGGAATGCGAATAAAAGATCATGAATTAAGAAGTTGGAAATAAGATAGAATAAATCCTGTATGAAATCAACTACTCCCTGATAAATTTGATTCTTGGCATGAGAAGTCATGAATTGATACGAAGTCTAATTCTAATTCTTTTGACCTATTTTTTCTATTTTTATTTTATTTTTTAGTTGTTGAATTATCAATGTAAAGTAGAACTCAAATACTTTTTGATTCCACGTAACCACATAAAAATCAGGAATTGAAACAGAGTAATTCTAATACTAATTCGTACTCTAACCTAGTGCAAAAAGTTGGAATTGTAAAAATTTAGAGCTGAACTTGGTGAAATATAGAACGTCATAGGACCATGATTCTGGAACTCCTTTCCCTCCTTCGACTGTGGTCGGCCTGGGTCAGATTTCTTCGTTCAGGGATTTACCTCTTCTGAATAGTCCGCCCTTGATGGGTCAACTCTCGCTAGTTTATCCAAGCATAGGAAGATGTGACAAAATACACAGAAAGTTGTTAGGATATCTTTCCTTTTTATATTTGAGCGATATTCTAGTCTAATCCAAATTTAGGAAGGGGGAATCAAACTTGACTACACTCGGATTCACATATTAGGATTGATTTTTAAATTAAATCCAGGTTGATCAAAAAATTTCAAAATTTTTAATGGAAACTTTTTTGTGAAGGTATTGAAGTTGGGATTGAAACAGAAGATAAAGCGTAATATAAAGTTACATTACAATTAACATGTTTATTAAATGAAAGTGACTAAATATTGAAAAAAAAATGCTACACTGCGTGATCAACTCCGGCAACGAGTATTAGCACTGCATCCACGGTTGTAGGGGTTGCTCTGACTCTGAGCACCCGGCTTGCAGTTGTTGGAGGAAGCACCTCTCTGAGAGCAAGGCACAGTGTTTCTCTGCATAGCGTCATAGCTTATGTTTCGTGAGGTGGCCAAGATGCGCCTGCTAATCTCCGAGTCCATGCCAAACTCATCATCACGATCATCCATGCACTCTGCTACAGAACCCTCGCAGCGAGGTCTCACTGGAACCCAGCTCACCCCATGATCGCCGCCTGCATCAACTGAGATGATCAGAGCGGCCACGAAGGCCAAGGAAAAGATAATCGCATAGGAATTGGCCATAGGTTTTGGTATGGTCTTTGTTTTTCGCTGCCAACTTGTATTTTGTTGTACGCTTGTTTAATTACAGAGGGAGACAGATGGGGCGGCAAGAGAGAGAAGAGAGAGTTTGTGAATTCTGATGTGTATATTATTGCACCCTAGTGTTATTTATAGTAGTAAAAAGTAGAAAAAAGGGAAGGTCCTTGTTCTTTAATTAATCCGTAGTAGTAGAAGGGAAAATCTTGTCTTTCAAGTAATCCATCTTAAATAAGACACAATCTAAAAGATATTCTGCAGTCCCAGGTGATCACTTAAATGACTTGCACTAATTAGCCTTATTCTAATTGCAACAAAGAAAGCTGAAATTGGAATAATTCGTGATTTGTTCAAACTAAGAATACGAAATCAACAACCTACTAGAAAATATGCTTGTAGAGATTTACAGGTAAAAGCGCTTTTATCAGAACGATGTTGAGAAATCAATTTTATAATGATATAAGCATGTCAAGAGGTTAAACTTGTTTACAACATCAATATTATAATGACAGTACTCTCACTTCATTCTTGCTCATAGAATTAAAGAGAGAAACCGAACTAAACAGCAATGAGGACTAGCTTGGTCAACTCTCAGGCCTTATTCTTGAAGATAGCAATATTACTCAAAGTTCCATATCATATGTATGCATAAATCTTGTGCTTGGCACTTATTCCTTGAGAAGATGTGCATCAATATCTTTAATGACATTGACCATAAAGCTGAGGTACTTCTGTGGAGGCGGATCGTTCTCGTTGAGTTTTTCATATTCTAAAGTAATTTTCACAGAACCTCCTTCACTCTTTGGAGTGGCCTGGAAAATGATCTTGTAGCTTTTGTAATTGTCCAGCACATGTGATCCTTCCAGAGCTGTAAGACTCACCCACTTGTTTGCTTCATCTATTTCCACCTTTTCCTTGAAAGTCTCGACATTTCCATCTGCACGTCACATGGAAAATTACAATTATACACACATATTATTATACAAGTGAAAAAAAATTATTTTCAAGTGTTCTTTCACTTTTATAATGAAATATGATTTATGTATTTATGTTCCGAGCATATTAAAAATTGTCTCCTGTCCATGATCCGATTCTTTATATATTCATCGTCGGGTAATGCAAACCTAATGGCGCCTGGATGGCCTGGTCAATATATTTCAGTTTTAATTCTAGAAGAATCTTATACGTACAAATACATGAGGTAATGCAAACACCTAGCTAGATATCACGTTAGAATGTTTATTTCATAGCAGGTTAGTTTGTGTTATTCAAAAAAAATAATAATAAAAAAAATAATAATAATAATAATGTCACAGTATTAACTATAAACGTAACATTATTATACAATTTTTTAACAAATAATATTATATACATTAAAATAGAGGAGTAGGCTTCGTCTCACAATGTTTGAACGATAGAAATAAACTTGGACTTTTGACAAAAGTTAGAATTTGTAAATTGACATGCATCAATTCCTTGTTTGGATTTATAAACATAGAAATTTATATTTTCCGCGTGAAAAAAAAAAACTTGGAATTTGAGACCTCCAATTCTCAAGTTTAAATTGCATGTAAATAAGTCACTCAGTACTATGGCCTTGTGATATTCATCTTCACTTGGAAGTGAAAGTCTTAGGTTCAAATCTCGTAGATGACGAATTCGATACCAAATTAGGCTGTCCATTGTGTGGCTTTGCCGAACTCCCCCTCCCCTTAGTGTAAAAATATTAATGTACTAAAAAAAAATTCATGTAAATAGGTGTCATTTCCAAATTTTTATGAGCGAGAATTTAAAAATAACAAATTCTGTATTGAATTTCTATTGTTCTTTTGAGTTAGTCAAACAAGAAAATATACAAATTCTAGAAATAAAATTTCATCATTTTAAAATTTCTTGGTAATTTTAAATTTTCTCATCCAAACAGTGTTAGCGTCATGTTGTAACGCCCGTCGCTTTTTATCTAACAAAATTAATTATTAGTTTAATTAGGTTAGGAGGAGAGAGGAGGGTGATTAATTTCATATTACCTAGGGTGTATTTCCAGAGCTTGACAGAGCCAGACGTTTCCCAATCACCTTCATGTACTGCAACATCGTGTATTTTATCAGAGGCTGCTTTGGGGACGTCGTGGTGCTGGTTGCTGATGACTTTGTACAACTTATCAGCGTTGGCCTTGATCTCTACCTCAGCCTGCACAGTCAGCTTGCAAGCTACCAGCTCCACTCACTGCCATTTTCTTTTATTTGTTAATAGTAATATGTCATTAACAATAATGTAGGTCTGGGGAAATTGTAGGAGACGTATACTAACCTACAGGTTTCAACTTCTTATATAGAGTCGCAAAGTTGTTAATTAACATGTTATAAACTTAAAGTTATGGAGGCAGCGTGTGGATATGATCCGATCACTTAATTAAATAGTTATATAATAATGTTGTGTCGGTGGATCTTCCACGTAGAGTTTTATTATTACACCTACCAAAATTTAATGGTACCCGCAAACTTGATGAGACATATATCAACACGTGAGAATAATTATTGATCAACTTTACCTCCATGGTATAATTGGAGTGAATGAATGTATGATATTAAGCGTTAAGATCTTTAGATTTGGCATGCGGAAGTGCGTGTATTTGTATATTATATAGGGATAATACTAAGTTAGGTTCATATTATCTTAACTAGTGATAAATCAAGGGTTCTTTCGAGTTATTCGAAACAGTGGTTTATATTATCTTTGACATACGTGCAACCTAGACACAAAAAAGAGAGGTTGTGTTGGCATCCAAAATAAAACTATTCGCAGACAATAATGTGGAGTTCCTGTTACTCTTTTGGAATCAACGAACGCTGAATCATTAATACCTAATTTCAGAAAGTTTTTCTTTTCTGTGTGCGGATCTTCTTAATGGATGTAGCTCAGTTTTGGAAGATTAACCACTTACTTCTTCAAGCCTATTAATTTTAGTCAATCTAAAGTAATTTAATTAAGTCTGTTAACCTTACAATTTTGAGCGTTAATACCTAATTTTGGAGGAATTGCATCACGTTTACATAAAAGTAACCGAAATAATAGAGCGGAATTAGAATCCAAGTACAGAATATCCAGTGTTTATCAAATATTGGAGAATAAAAATTTTGATAGCACCCACTCAATTTTTTTAATCCAATACTAATTCATACTCAAATTTTGAAATAAAAAATCTAATACTACTTCGTACTCATCAAATGAAAGAAAAATTTAATTCTTCATTTTTTAAGTACCGAATTATTGTAATGTGAGTAAACGCATGAAAATCATGATTTAGAGTATTTTCTAAGTCTGAAATTGAAATATAAAGATAGCCCTTGATTGGTCGATTCTGGTTAATTCAGGCATGAGAATCCGGAAAAAAACACACAAAGTTATTGAGATAGCTTTCCTTTTTTATATTTTAGTGATAGTCTAGGCTAATCCAAACTAAAAAAAAAAAAGAAGAATTCAAACTTGGCTACACTCGGATTTGCATATCAAGCAATTTCTAAATTTCTGACGGAAACTTTTTTGTGAAGGTATTGAATTAGGGGTATTTTAATGAAAAACTATCAGTACTGTTCACTTTAACGAAAAACCATATTTTTACACTAGAAAATCAATCCTAGTACTATTTACTTTATCCTTTATTTTATCCTTATCGTTAAAACTCAAAGTTTTCAAACCCTTTTCATTAGTTTTCCTTTGAATTAGTTGGGAATGAAACCAGAAGATAAAGCATAATATAAAGTTACATTACAATTAACACATGTTCTATTAAATGAAAGTGACTAAATATTGAAAAAGGAGAAATTAGGTTCTCATCCCTCATTTTACTACTTCATTGATTAAAACTATATTCATTTTCAATTTTTGATCAAGGTTATTGGGTATTAATAACATCATTAATTATTTCAATAATAAAATATTTTTTATTTTTAAATATATTCATTTAGTGTTAAAAATGTTACAATTAGTATATTTATATTTATGTGATACACCCCGACCTATATCAAGGCAGCTGACCTACTAGGAAGTTCTTGTGTAAATTCCCAAAAACAAAACCGTGAGGGTATGCTGGGGGCCCAAAGTGAACAATATCGTGCTACGGTGGAGTCTGGCCCGGGAAGTGGTCCCGCCCGGGCCGGGATGTGACATTATGGCTAAATTTTTTATCATATATTTATATTTTTAGTTTGTACCCATTTTTAATTTGCAAACCTTTTTTAATTTGTACCAATTTTCTTTTCAGTTTTTATTTTTAACCATATATTAATTTCTTTTTGTGCCCATATTTTTTTAGTTTTATTTGTATTTGTGTCCATGTGTTAACCGTCATGTGATATTGTATAATTAATCAATGATAGAAAAATTACATATGGTATATTTATGTTTTATGGCTAAACTTTGTATCATATATTTATATTTTTAGTTTGTAACCACTTTTAATTTGCAACATTTTTTTAAATTTGTAGTATTTTCTTTTTAGTTTTAATTTGTACCAATGTATTAATTTCTTTTTGCGCCCTTATTTTTTTAAATTTCATTTGTACTCATTATTTTTTAATCTTTTATTTGTACCTAATTTATTTATAATGCACCCATTCTTCTTTATTAATGTACCACTTTGTTATATGTGAAATGTACCAATTTTTTTAACACTATGGATACATTCTTTTGCCATTTATTATTTCTTATTGTTGCATAGTTTTTATCCATTTATTCAATCAAAATGTTTAATTTTTTTTTTTATTATAGCCGTTTCAAATAGTATTATAATGAAGGGTTTTAAATTTATAGGATTATAAATCTCGTAAAATATCAAACAATTAATGTCAAAACTATAAAAATATAAATATTAATAGTAATATAATAAGGTGTACAAAGTGAATGAACTTTGATCAAACTTTGAAAACCATTAAGGTTTTAGTCAAAGAGGTGTTAGAGACTAAGGACCGCATCCAAAGTATTTAATTGAAAAACGTGCTACACCTGCGTTGATCAACTCCGGCAACGAGCATTAGCACTGCATCCACGGTTGTAGGGGTTGCTCTGACTCTGGGCACCCGGCTTGCAGTTGTTGGAGGAAGCACCTCTCTGAGAGCAAGGCACAGTGTTTCTCTGCAGAGCTTCATAGCTTATGTTTGGCGAGGTGGCCAAGATGCGCCTGCTAATCTCCGAGTCCATGCCAAACTCATCATCACGATCATCCATGCACTCTGCTACAGAGCCCTTGCAGCGAGGTCTCACTGCAACCCAGCTCACCCCATGAT